TGATGCTTTCTGAATGGATGGAAGCATGTGCAGCAGTTCTGATGGAAGGAGATCTGGGCTGCTCAAAGAATAATAGGAAAGCCAGGAAGGCTGGAGTAGACTGAGTCAGGAGAATAGAGGCAGTGGCTCAGAGAACAAGAATGAGAAGATCTCAGGGCCTTCTAAGGACTCGGGCAGGATACACTAGAATGTTTTAAGCAGAGGGACAGCATAATCTAGTAGAAAGTGACCGTCCCCCCTACCCCCATGGTGGCAGGAAGATTAGTGCATGGTAATGACTTGGATGTAAAGGTGATACAGATGGTAGTGGTAGAGACAGTAAGAAGTAGTTGGATTCAGGATACACTTTAAATGAGAACCAGTGGGATTTACTGATGGATTGTCTATGGAAAAGAAGAGAAAGTAAAGATTTAAGGATGCCAGATTGGTGCCCTTAGTGAACCTGATTTCTGATACTAATGCCCATGAGCAGTTCCTTCTTCTTGACTATGGCCTGAACTAGGTGACTTGATTTAACCAATAAATCTGCAAAAGTGATGTTGGGCCAGTGTGAACCAGAACCTTAAGGAGTCCTGGCAACTTCTGCTTTTGTGCTTTTGGGAACCCTGAGATGCCATGTATCTCAGGGAGGTGGCATGGCAGGGCTATGGAAGAGCCCTGTATCTTTAACCCAGCTGAGCTTAGCCTCTAGGCCATCCTCCAGCTGAACACAGCACAGCAGTGATCACCAGCACGAGAAGCAGAAAAACCACCGAGGGAAACCAGCCCAGTTTACAGAGTTGTGAGCAAATAAACTTGTCGCCAGTAAGGTGGGGGTGATGTTATTCAGCCACAGATACATAAAACAGATAAATTCAAAAGTTTTAGTTTGAGCATTCAAAAGGAATGAGGTACATTAACCAGATGAGAAGACACTGTTAACAGGTTTGGGGATAGAATTTAAAAAATCTTATTATGATGTTTCTACATGGAAAAAAGTACGTATTTCTCTTGATATTATATTTCTCTTAATATATATCATATATTATATATCATACAATACAGAAGTCATTTATTTCTTAAGTATTGCTGTATTTTCCAAGGTAAAAAAAAAAAACAATTTAAGAGTAAATATTTCAATCTCCAAATAATCACAGGGGTTAAATGAATTACTTTTTCTTTTCAGCTTCTCAAACTCTGTTGACAATCAGAGAAATCCCCATGCCAGGGAAACAACTGCCCAGTTTTTCAGGTTTTACCCACTGTGGTTTTGAGCTTTGGTGGCACCACCTTATACAGGAGAAAGCAGCGGGATCACATTCCCTCCCAGCTTCCATGACTGGTGACGGTGAACCACCTTGGGCTTGGACAATGGTCTCCTGGAAGCTGAATGGACTGCCTGGGAGGCAAGCCTTGGCCAGTTATAAATTTAATCCTTCTTGTGGCCACTTTATAGACATCAGCATGTGAGAAAAGAAAAACTATCTCATCAGTTTGATCAGGCCATGGGTCCCTGATCATAGATATCTATGCTAATATCTTGTGGATATGAACCCAGCTTAAGTGTTAGGGAATAGTGGAGTAAGATTCTTCATGTCCCAGAACAAATACTACTATCAAAGAATTAAATTCATGTTGCTAACCTTCCATTCAATTCCACCTATAGCACAAGACATTCATTCATCTATCTCTTTCTCAGCATTTGGGAAAGGTTTACAATAGAACTGAAGTAAAACAAATTAATCATACACAGAGCAGTTTATTTCTGCCAGGGCCAGCCTTTTCTTGAGCCAGCATTCCTGGGAAGGAAGAGTGATTTCCATCTATCTTGTCCTTGGAAGTTTTCTACCCCAGAACCAACCAGTAAAACTTAAAACTAGACAGGAAGCCAGGGCTTCACAACACAAAAGAACCCTGCAGTGGTGAGTATTTATAGGATTTATGTCAGAACAATGCCTATGTGATTAATTTAATGCACATTTGGCTTTGAGAGAAATCCAGAGAGGCATTTTTTGCCAAAAATTTTAACCATAGAATTCTGTTGTAAACATACAGGCTTGGTCTTCCTATGTGGGTGTAACACAAGGACACTGGCACCCACTATTTAGGTCCCTACAAATCTCTTAGGACAATGACATACCTTTGGCTAACACTGCTTCTGGCTGCTGTTTAAACACAATTCCGATCACTTCTTCCAGCGTGTCCATCAATCCCTGAGTCAAGTCCTTGACGGACTGCTGCACTTCAGCTTTCATGTATTCACCACCTTCTTTAAAGTGTTCACCTATCTCTAACAGTCTGGGGCCCTTTAGCATTGACTTGGCTACAAACTTCTCAGTACTGTCACAGCACAGAGTTGTTTGTGGGAAGTGCTGCTTCTTTGGCATTTGTAGTCTGCACAGGACAGGCAGCTTTCCACAGTTCAGAAAAAGTCTCCAGGCACAGAGGTACCATTATGTGCCTTTAGTGCAGGCGTACTTCAATGGTAAGGCTGAGGGCAGTGACAGGTGTCTGCACTGGGGTGTCTGCCAAGCTGGCTTTCCTTGCTAAGACCTTACAGAAATTACTGCACATACCTGAATCCTCACAAATTAATATGACCATAGTGTTGTAACAGATTTCAGCATGAAGCTGAACCAGCACTGCATGGTAACAACTAAGTACAGACAACTTTGTTATTTTAAAGTAAAAACTACAGTTCAATTAAGCTCATTTTGGGAGCTCAACATAACACCATTTCTGTGCTAAAAGCAGAAAATCTATTCTAAAAAAAAGGTCTCTTATAAGGTGTTAACTGTTGCCCCTACAGACATGGGCTATGAGATAATTTTTTTCTTGATCTATTTTCTTATTTTCCATAAGAATGATTCACTTTTGTAATAATAATAAACAAGTTATTAAAACAAGATTACTCAATAATTTAAAACAATCTCAAAATTCAAAAGAATTATCCTGGCACCTTCTAAAATCTTTCCTTCTCCTGATTCCTTCCCCCCTGCCAATACAATATGTCAAAACAGAACCCTGTTTATCTGAAGGTAATGGTAATGCAACATCACTATTCTAACAAATGTGAAAAAATTAGGAATTATGCAAAGAAAGAAAGAAACAAACAAACAATGGAGGAATTTGAGAAGCCCAAAGAGATATTCCCAGATCTATAAACCAAAATCTGTTGCCTTGCTCATAGCAAAACACCTCAGATTATTAGCATTTGGAACTTATTTACACACACTTTATACTCAGTTCCAACAGATGTACCAAGAGATACTTGACTTCAAGTTTGCATTCAGAAATGGCAATTAAAGAATGACACGGCCTGTTCTAGGCAGATATACTGAGGATGGGGATAAGTGGCAGGGGCGACAAGAGAGAAGGACAAAGCCTTGGCCAGGCCAGCATTGTCTTCAGGCAGCACTGGAAACCATAAGCCTGCAAGGGGGCATATGTCTTGGCTCTGTACCAAGCCTGAAATAGTGCTATTTCCAAACCCACTTCAGGGTCACAGGGAATCCAGGAGTTGAGGAATCCAGACTAAGCTTAACTATACCCAAGAGAATGAAATAGTTAATGCTCATCCTTTAAAAGAAGGTAAACATAGGCATGTAGTCAAAATCATCCACAGTAAAAGTAGAGGCCTTAAAGATTAGATTCAGAGGGCTGAGGATTTAACTCAGAGGCATAACACCTGCCTGGCAAGCTCATAAATTCTATCTCCAGTACCAAAAAAAAAAAAAAAAAAAAATCAGATTCAGAGTCCGGGAGACATAAACCAGGCTAGATTATAAGGATATTTTCTTATCTGTTTTTACTTTTTCTACTTTTGACTTTATATCTGTCAATATCCTCTGATTCTAGTATCTGACCCTTATCTGATCTTACAATGAAAGAACTTATATATCCATTACATTTTTGTTTCCATAATTCTGTACATCACTTTTCCCCTCTCTTAGTTTCATAATATTCCTTTAATTTAAAAAAAGTACTTAGAACACTGGAAAATAAAGTGTTGACAAACTGTTATTGGTGGGTTGGTTTTCTTTTATATGCACCAGTTGTTAAACTCCTCATAAAAGCAGTCTTTAACAAGTTCAAACACTTAAATATGAATAGAATAAAGTCAAAGGGAGATGAAAGAAATGGCATTCCTGGTGAAATAGGTCAGATGATTTTCAGACTCCAAAGTGTCCTGATAGTTTTATGTGATCCAGCCCAGTTCCTGGAAACATCCTACCAACAGGTAACTGGTCTCTGAAAGCTTTTGAAACCAAACGCTTCCCACCAGCCAGTTCATCTCTTCCTAAATTCTCAGCCTCATTAAGAATGAGAAACAGATACCACGGCACCAACCTGTCTATGAGAACACAGAGAGACAAATGTAATTGCCTGTGTAAGAAATACAAATCAGCAACTCTCAAATAATTCATATTTATACCCAGTCCATTTTGGTTGTCTTTCCTTTATAATCTGGCCATACATCGATGTCAAGTGTATAATTTTATCTGAGGCTTTATCAGTTACTGCCCCGAGCCATGATTATATGGTGCAGAGAAACTTCCTCCCCTGGGCAAGTCTATCTTTAGTAGCTTCTTGATAACCACTTCTTACTTAAAAAATCAAAAGGAAAGACTCGGTTTTCTTATGTGGCTCCAGGATGCCTAAAATATAACATTTAGAAGTAATTTATCAGCTGAAATCATTGAGCTTTCAGGGCCACTACGACTTTTCAAAGAAAAGTGTTCCCATTCCTTCCCATGGTGACTGTTAAGAAATTGCAATGAAAATTCTAGGAATTTCCATATTGAGTATTTAATCACGGAGTAGGCTCAACTTTCATCTTGCTAGTGTCTGTCACGGCTACACAGAGATAAGACTGGATTCTGAACAACTGAAACAGCAAGACAGATAATGGTATGAACTCTGGAACAACAACTTTTTACAAACAAACAAAAAAAATACGTCTTCAATCCAACATTCCAGGGATAATATATTAGTCTAAGAAGAGGAGTCTGGCATCAAACCTGGTAATAGGTTTTTTTTATTTTTGTGTCTTTATCTTAAAAATATATTTAAACAAGAAACAAAGATAATATTGAATTTTTCCATAAACTTTGCTTTCTTATTTACAATGTTACATTGTAAATAACATTCCATTATACACAATTAAGGACTGTGCATTACTGAATGTTCTCTTTACATAGTCTTTCATAATAATTACATACAGCTCAAAGCTAAGCAATCTTGAATCTTAGAAAAGCAGAGGAAAGAAATACAAACTTTATCAATAAGACTATTATTTTAAAAGGTTCTGACCTTAATTCTCTGCTAGATTGTTTCACTGAAACCATTCTTTGTTAAAGAAAAATGCCCCATATAAGGGATGAAGACAACAGTTTAAGTTACCACAAGATCGACTTAAACTGATTCACAAATAAAAACACTTTATTACTTATTACTGTTCTTAAATGGAGCACGACCACTGTCAAATCATTTAAACAAGTAGATTTACTCTTCAATTCAGACACATTACATCAATGACAGTTGGTACTTACTCTTTATGAAATAAAAATTGTTTCCTGCAACCTTAGGTTTTACTTGTAAACAGTTAAAGCACACATTTTGTAAAGACAATCATTCTCAGTCATTGGTTACACAATGAGATTCTATTTCATCGAGGGAGATGCAAGCACACGTACACACACACACACACACACACACACACACCATCGGGCACCCACCAAAGGTCCGTGCGTCACTAAGCGCTAACTACAGCAGCACTTATGTTTTGAGCAGTGCACGAGATCCCATAAGAATTAGAAAACAAGGAAGTTTAAAACCTCCAAAAGCTTGCGTTCTGAAATGCCTCTCAGACACTTCACACCCAGTCAGCAGGGTCAGTTCACTGGGCTCTCCAAGCGGCAAACTCCACCTTCGATTGCAACTGACTGTCCTGCCACCGCACCCGGAGGAAGTCTTGAAATGTGAGTCTGCAGAAAAGGAGAGAAGAGACATCAGAAGTGCTGATGATGTCCCCTCCATCTGGTAAAGGTAGCACAAAGTCCAGAGCTTTGCATAATCATGGTGAGCATTTACACACTGGTAACCTTTAGGTAGCTAGAAGTACACTCGGAATATTTACTTAGCATATGCTACTTGGCAAACACAGTGCAGTCACTGGAGATGGAGGGGTGATTAAATGAACTGTTGAAAAGACTGAAGAGTGACAGTATGTTCACAAAGATAGCCTAAAACTGTCCAAGAAAGAAAGCAATCGATTTCCTACTGACTAAGAAAAGAACCAAAGCTGGGAGGCAGACACTCCTGCTCCAGTGACTAAAAGACTTGATGTCAATCCCAGGGCTGACAAAATCCGATGGCCAATCCAAACTTACCTCTATTACTCCCACCCCTATCAAGTTTCAGACACAACAGCTAAGCCAGAAAATCATTAAGTGTCAAGAAAGTTAAGAAGGGGAAAGGGGGGAAATTTAGAAAAGATGGCAATGCTCTTGAGGTATTTATTATCAATACTTGGGCAAAATAATTACACATACACATTTAATTTGTATAAATTGAGAACTCATTAAAACAGAAATGGTCAACTACACAAATTACTTATTAAGATGAACTTCTAAGGATTCTCTCTTTCCTAAATCACCATCCAGCTAGGGAAGATTTTGCAGTTATAAAACACATTAAAATGATACTTGAGTTAAGATTAAAATGGTTAACCACCCAAATGCCGATGTTTCAACAGTTTCATCCATTTACATGATTTTCTAACTCATCAGAAATTAAATGACTTTAATCTGAAAAAGAGTTTAATCCAAGATGCACTCGAAGGTTTCTGTGGGGATTTCAGTAGGGTACCACATAATATAAACTTTGAGAGCTATGTAAAAAAAATGTTCTAAGTTCCCCTAATTTTTAAACTTGATTTGACTTTCTCTTGAGCCTAAAAATAGACTACTTTCTATAATGAACTTGAAGCATTTAAAAATATAATAAAGTATTTTGTATTGAGTGTCTGAGGACTGTATAGCCTACAGGGTAGACTGTAAACATAGCAACTTAACCAAGTGTCTATTTAAACAGCAATCCAATTTATTTGGAACTGATGAGAAATAACAAAATAATACAAGGAAACGCAGTAGACTGATCCATTTGCGGTCATCTTGTTGCATGCCCCAATATACAGCTCTTTAACTGGTTGCTTGTATTTAATATTCTTTTCCAGCTCTTTCTCAAGAAGGAAAAAGACTAGGTTTGGCTAGGTCACCAATTCATTCTAGAACATCTCATTCTACCTTCTATAGCAGCCATCTGAGCACTTCTCACCTGTGATGTCTTGGTTTTGGTTTTGGTTTTGAGTTTTTAGGTCTCTGTTAATTGAAAGTTGTTTGGAAGCACAAGCTTGTCTTATATGTATCTAAGCATTTCTTTTATTTGTCAATATACTTGACACAAAAGCAGATTCTGGAAATGTTCAATGGGTAGATAAGTGATCCAAATATTCTCTCCAGTGTTGTTTATTTGCATGAAGAATGTCAACTGTTTCAACTAGCATGACCAATCAGTTTGGTTAAAGGGTCAATCAAATTAGTTTGCCATAATGAAGATTTTTAGATTTTTAAAAAGTATCTCTTGATTTAGTTTCTTCATTTTCCAGGTGATTAGGCTGTTAGAGAATTGAGACAGACCTTCAAATCCCTCTGATGCAAACAACTCCATACCAATGGAATCCAATGGTCTTTCTCGCTAATTCCCTGAGCAGCACAGACAGATTCTTGATGTTAATACTCCTAAAGAACTATAACTTATAAATTTACTATTTAAAGCCATTATTCTTAGGGCTGTATCTCTTTTAACACACAAAATATATTTAGTTTGAGGATTTCAAAGTAAGAAAGTTAAAAGAAAAAAAAAAACAAAGAAATTATATAATTACTTTTTATCTGAAAGCTGAGATTTCCGATCATTCACACTCACATTTAAAAAAAATTTAAGACCACTTAGAAACTGCTCTTCTGTGGTTTCCAGGAAAACTACAAACACATGATTTAATTTAAGAAGTCTCAAAGGCTTTATTTAGTAGTTATACTTTAATCCTCTGTCTCTCTACTCAACATACAACAATTTTTCCACTTTTAGGAGATTTGTTCAAGATCCTCTGTGACAGTTAAGGGAAGATTCTCTTAAATAAGTCATTATCCTGCTTTGGTAGAGTCAGGAAAACAGAATATGGACAGACACATTCTAAAATAATCTCTTAAAAATATTTTGTTCCCTATTTCACAATTCTGAGGGAGTGGTTTTTTTTCTTTAAAAAATATAGAAAACTTGAAGCAAGTTACTAAAGTAAAAGCAATGCAGGCATTTACAAACAGAACAAATAACAGTGGAAAACACTTGGCAACAGAGTGACTTACGAAACAGCATTTCAAAACAGTAGAGGTATACTCATCAACCTGTGGCTCTACACTGTGTGAAGTATAACACATGCTATGCCCAATTCTAAAGTTTATCTACAGAGGCATCATAATGCTGTGAGCACAATTTGCAGAATCAGAAGTTTTGGTATTCTTTGCTACACTTCCCAGCCCCCGTGCAGTTAGGTATGGCTATGTGACTGAAAACAGATCAGCAACCAAAGTGAAATGCACCACCATAAGGTTGGAAGAAGATCTTCCTAAACACTATTCTCCATGATCTTTCTCATAATCTAGAGGTTTCTGAGATAGAATGAGCCTAAGATTCCAAGTCACCATTAGGAGAAGAACTTTCCACCAATCAGAACCTCAATTTCATGGTAGTCAAGAAGGGGCTATGGCACTTATGATCTATTGTATTTCATTAATGAAATTTTGAAAAACTTAACATGAAGAGAAATATGGGAAGCCCTAGAGAAAACTTGTTTCCAGGGACACTTCTAGAAAGCAGGACTCCAACTCTAAGTGAAAAATGCTAAGCTTAATTTTATATTATCATGTGCTTTTGAAGAGATAGATATCATCTGGGCTCTGATTTTCTCTTCTTAATTCTGCTTCAATTTTCAAATTGGTAAGTTCTAGATGTCATCTATTTCTTCATACACTTGGTACTCTTCCATGAAGCATTTCGATATAATCTGAAATAACATGTATGCTATACAGTACACAACAAAAATTCATTTAACAGGTTAAACTTTTGTATTTATCACTCTGATACATGTGAAATATAAATTTGGTTCTGTGAGATCATGCTGTGGGCTGAGCGCCTCTTATATATTTACATTTTGAATTTTATCCCACACAATAATAACAGCCCTGAAGGTATTTTGCATTCACATGATAGACTTTAAACAACAGATTCCAAAGAGAAGGGCTGGGGTAATGTTAACTCCTGGTTAATTCTTATTGCCTTGTTTCTACTGTGGGTTTTATTTTTTCTCTCCTTTTTGATGAGTTGAGTCAGGAGACACTGCCACCTCTGTGCATTTCTCAAAAGTTCCTGCCCACTGCTTTCAAGAGCTGTCTTTCTAGGAGATGCAACTCATGAATAAGTATATTCTGGGCGTTCTTTGTGTGTGGCATTAAACCTTGGAATGCAGTTAACTAAAAATAGTTTGGTCTTCAGATTTCATCTCAAAAGCATATGTAATTGTTCTACTAGACGACAATTTCACATGAACTTTGTTAATATAGCTTGGGGTAATCTATATAATTTACAGACTAAAACCCATTTACTATAGGCCACAAGAGCTGGGTGCTCATTTCCTAAGCCCATGTGACATTAGACTATGTAAAATAAGGACTTTGGGTGAGAAGATCTCTAGAACAGTCTCTTAGAACTGTGACATTCTCTGACATTGGCTTGACTTTGCTAAAATATAGGTTGCTAATGCATTTTTTAAATGAGTATTTACATCTAGTCCACCACAGTCTTAAAAGTAATAAATAGGACAGAGGAATCTGAAGATATAATTCTCAAGTTTAACCTAACAAGTCAGAAATATCAACAAAATGTGGAATTAATGCCATATGTAAGTCATTTTACTGTACACTGCCCCTACCTTGCTTTCCACATTTAAAACAAGGATGCAGTAAAAGATCCACTGCCAAATGAGGACAAACACAAAGACAGCATTACTGTAAATTTCATTGTTAGCACTAAAACAAGGCTACATAAAGGGCAAAAAGTTCTATTGTTCTCACATATAAGTATCATGTTCAAGGAGCCTTAAAATAAGATTAAATGCTGTCTGATGAGAACAGCATGTTGTTCCAGTCTCACGGCCACTTTGGCTGTCTTCTTTTACCATCCCTACTGACACAACACTTTAGTTAGAGGCAACATCAGACAAGAGTTTCCTCCTATTTTTAGCTTAAAAGCCCCATCAGGGAACCCATATAAACACGGCACATAACTATTATCCCACCACTTCCACAGAGAATTATCATGAATATGCCTTTTGCTAAAGGTGATAAAAGCTCTGCACTATTTAGCAAATAGTTATTCTGCACCTACTATAGGGGAAAAATAAAACACTCTGAAGGCAATGATGTCTTTGTAGGATGTAGAAACCCATTCGTTGTGAAATCTTAATAAAAATAATAAGTTCCTGTATTTAAAGAATGCTTTAGGTTTCTACATTGTTTTTGCACTGATAAAAATCTCCTAAAAATACCCTGATGGGCAGAAATGTGTATACTATACTTATTTTTCAGGTGGAAAAAAAAAGTAAGACTTAGAATGGCTCTGTGGTTTGCTTATGGTCAGAAAGAAGTGGAAAAACTGAGATGTGAATGAATGCCTCTGGACTCCAAATTTAGGGCTCTCCTTACTCCCACAAAGTTTTAACCTGAAAAAGGATTCTAAATGTAGCTCTGTGAAGAGACACATCCTTTACTGCAGGAAGCTTATGACAAAGCAGTTTCTTCGGCAGAATAGGGCTTGCTTAGAAAAGCTACTGCCACAAATTTTACCAGTTTCAGAGTGTTTGTGATAC